CATGCTTTTTTACAGCATCGTTATTTAAAGATGCCTTTATTTCGAGAAAATCTAACTCGCCGTCAGAGTCAGTTGACATATTGTCATTCAGTTGATTGAAAACATCTTTAGATTCGTAAATTTAACGGTGCTGAACGTGGCTGTTCTATTTTGTGAAATTTTAACGCACAGGCTTGAAATTCACTACGAAATAGTTCTTATAAACACACGCAAATTCGCGTTAATTAAATATATAAATGTAAACTTAACTTTGCGAAAATTCGCATTTAACGCGTAGATTTTGTTCTTCGTTATATTCCTATAATGCAATCTTCTGAAAACCCGCGACTTTTTTAAAACCCGCGACCCGCGACCATTAGGGAAACTCACTACGAACACTTTCCGTGTGCACGGGCAATGTCACGTGATGGTGCAATTCAACCTCAAACGCGAAACAAAAGGCCGGCCCTTTGATGTGTGCCGGCTTTCACAACCAGTCCTCTCGATTAACTATGATTTATTTCAATCATTTGCTTTGTATTGAATTTGCATTCCAAATTTAGCACCTTAATTTTTTCAGAAAGTAAGTTGCTTTGTGTTGAATTTGCATTGCAAATTTAGTACCTCAATTTTTTTAAGTGGTAACTTGCGGAAAAAAGAATGCAAGAGGACGCCTTAGAAGAACAAAGGAAGACTCTAAGGAAAAGAAGGAGGATACTAAAGAAAAGAATTGAGGAGAGTGAGAAGAGAGCAAGAGAGAAATGTGAGGCTAAGAAGAGAGCAAAACAAAGGAAACAGAGACGTGAAAGAGCAAAAAGAAGAAACAAGGAAAGGATGAGAAAAGAAGAAATAGAGAACAGACGAAGGGAAGAAAGAGAAATGAGAGAGCAGGAGCGAGATTTGGCAAAGCAGAGGGAACAAGAGTCGGAAGCGAGTCGTAAAATAATGAAGGAATTTGATTCGACTCAGTTTCCTTATTTTACCAGCATGTATTCACGTCGTTTTCTCAGTGATGAAAGCTTGGGAACGGGTGGTTGAAATAAGGCCCGAAAAATTTTAATACATATTTTCTGCGGAGTTTGGACTCTAGAGACATGCCCGGACTCATTGTATCAGCGAGCTTCCATTTTAATTATTAATATTTCCGATGGAAATGCGTAGAATTTTTGAGAGAACAATATAGATTATTAAATAAGTTTATCATTTAGGAATTACAATTTTTCGGGTAGTTTCAAATTTCCAGTATTTATATCTTGCAAATAGTTTAAGACAGACAGACAAGATTTTATCGGAGAAAGATGGAGCTAATAGTTAATTTTTTATGCCAATATCTAGGTCAAATTGTAAATTATAAATTCCATCTTAGAGATATTTTTTCACAAGTTGTGTGAATTCAAAAGTGAAATTTGTTTATATATTTAATATTAATTTAACCGTGAACGAACTCGCGGTCTAATCAAGAAGATTAACAATAAAGATTTTCTTGAAAGTTGGTTTCCACTAAGTTAATGTTAGTATAGTATTGTAGGTAAAATCAGCATAATGTTAGGACAATAATGGCGGTCTGCTTCCTGACGCCTATTTACACCTCGTCAGAAAAAAGGCCGCTAATTAGTGATCGTATAAAAGGACCTCTTGTTGCAGCGTTTAGATCACCCGTGATGAAGGCACTAGACAGGAGTGTCGAAACGTTGGGTCTATGAATTGTAACTTCTTCGGTTACATTCATTAAATCTGCAAACCAGTGTAGCTTCAAACTATGTCTGATTGTCCACCTGGTTGCCGTGTGAACTTTAATAGAAACGAAAAACTCAACGCTTCTTTCCTCTTGTTCTATTTTGGGCTGTTGGCGACTATTCTCCCCGCTCCTTCCCCGTTTCCGCACCAACAGCACCACCCAGCATTCTGAAAAGGTCACTTTGGGCGTGCACAGATACAGTCATGCTATCTTTTTCATTTAAAGTCATTTATCAAATGCAGCTGGTTAAACGTTCAAACATTTCAGTTTCTTTATGACCTACGCGATGATACCTTAACTTGGCCAAGGTAGTCATTTTATTAAATGACAAATGGATAGACGAATCTTTCCGATCCGTGTCAGTACCTGAGCAACTTCGTCCCTACTCCTCCCCTAGTCCAACTTTAACCCTAACTTGTTATCAGGGGAGAGATGAGTGTGCAGTCGCTCAGATACTGACATTGATCCAGTCTTTTTATTTCCACTTTACGGCGAAAATCTCAAGCCTTGCGAATAGTGCTTATGGACCTTAAATATTTTCCTAATATTTCAGCAGTGGACGTTTCACCATAAATTTGGGACTTCTTTCTGGATTTCCCAGCTTATCTCTTCTACTTCTCTAAAAGGGGTCACTGATGCCAGCCAAGAAAGCACATTTCCCTGTTAGGCATTCAATCCTTGTGTGCAAAAATTCCTCATTTCGCTCACCAAACACGCATTTAGCGAGATTCTCATGTAAGAAAATTGATTTCAAACAAGCAGTCGCGCACGCTTCCCCTCACTTTTCACACCGTACTGTCATTTTTCGCTTTATAGTTCTCTTTGTAGTCAGTCTGTATCACATCCGGGAGATTCGATAATGACGCACTATTACAGGAACAAGTCAAACCGGTTTCAAGCGAAACGTGTTCTGTTCTGCTTTGCTCTGGATCCTAGGAGTAAAATATTTAAACAAATATCGTTGATGAAGTAAATTATTTAAATTCTGCTGAATCAGCAATACAGCTATAAACACTTTCATCGGGAAATTAGGAGAATTATTTGATTTTCACTCTTTTTTTCTTAACCCTTTACACCCTAACATCAGTATGCATATTCTCCATACTCCATTCTACCATATATCTCTTTACATTACCTAAGGTGTTAAGGAGAATTTGTATAACAATTAATTCAAGAGCTTCTTTAGTTTGTGATTATTTCCTATATTGTCGTGACCTTAATGTTTGTTTCAGGAGTGATAATATATAGATTTAGCCAAGCCTAAAAGCGGAGCTCGCATTTTTTTTTCCCGCACGTCTCAAGGGCACAACGCCTTGCCCCGGCCAGGACTAGAACCCGGGTCGTCCTACTCGGAGCCCAGTGCACTGACCACTGGACTACTGGACAAAGCCGTGGCGTTGGAGTGCCCGCGATACAGTTAACCACGCATGTTAAAAGTAGCACCTTGTACGGTCGTACGGTCGTACGGTCGTACAGTCGTACATCCAAATTTTTTCGGCTTGATGGGTTACTACTATTTTGTATAATTATGGGGCTACGCTCTGCGCGCTTCGCTAGTATAAGGAGAAATTAGATGCTAGTCACTCTCAGGAGTCCAATGGTTAAAAAAAAAAAAACAAAATAGCGCTTCTCAGTCAAACAGTATGTTTCTTAAAGAAAAGAATTAAGCAAAAAAGAGGCGTCGCTCTTTGTTTTTATTTCAAACATGGCTTCCTGTTATGGTAAGCTCCTTTATTAGTTCGAAAAAATTCGTGTTCCTCTCGTAACTGGCTTAGAAAACGCGTCATCCTTTAAATCAATGAGATCTAAAGTTAGAGACACAAAGACTAAATCGCGAAGTTGATTGCCAGTGTGAACCGACAAGTTATCATTGGGTTAAAAGAAGTAGTTTGTTTGTTCTCAAAGAATTTGTAACAACTTGTGTTTTGATTGATGATTTCTGATCTTGAATAACGCACTTTTCAATCATAATTCAACTTCCATACGACAATATATTTTGGGGAAAAATTATAGCTTTGGCAATATCATACAACACCGAGTTTTATAATAAACGGCTCTTCAAAGAGAAGTTCACTTCCCTGCCGTAAGAGCGCACTTCGATTGATTGCCACGAAGCAAAAACCAGAGTTACTGCGCGAAGCCAGTGAGAACTCGAGACAAAAACATGTAAACTGTCTGATGCGCAGCAAAAACATAAGTGACTGGTTTCAGTTTTAATTCTGATTGGTTGAGAGAATGCTGCGAGATTTTTGGACCAGTCACAGAGGGAAGAAAAACAAAACTAAACCAATCCAAAATGATTTTCGACACTCAATTGCAATTTTCTCTGATCATAAAGCGGTTAAATACCTCATGTAGTGTTGGTGTACAGCTCCCCAACTCATTTTGACCGTCAGTTTGATTCTCGTCTTGTTCCTCAAATAGCTGAGTTTCTGCCTGTTCAACGTTTTTCTGTAGATTTTCATCTTCTGTGTTTTACAAAAGAAAGAGATCCATGTCTTTAAACGCGATGACTAACAAGGCATTGCCTGGTCCAGTAAATTTTATTTATTGTAGAAGTGCTAAACCTAGCTTTAACACTGGAGTTTTGTAAACATGGCTCAATGATACAATTTGAGAAAAAGCCTCCTTCAGAAAAATGAAATATCTAGCTCATGGGGAGCAGTTGAAAAGCTATACTTTTGTAATTAGTTCCCATGATTGCCATCGAAAATGGTACAGAATGCTAGCTGGGAATTTCATATCGCAAAAGCAATTTGTATTTGTTTAACCTAAGAGTTCTGTTTAAGATCACGGGTTTAAATGAAATTTCTCACTCGTTTCGTCAAGCTTCAGCAAAGACACGTTTATCACTAATCCACTTCCACTAATCATATCAGTCTCTGAATGAACCGAGAAATACTATATTATAAAAAAAAAAATATCGTACCAACTGTTCCATATATATTGGTCACTTCTGCGGGTGGTTTATAAACAAATCTTTCTAGAAATGCAACATCCTCGGGGCGTGTTATGGTATTAGTTCTCCGCTGAATTGAACCTTGCGGCTGACGAAAAATCAAAAGTACAGAAATATATTCAACTTTCTGAGGTTCTCTACATACTAGAAAGAGTAGACTACTTCAGTCGCAAACATCAAAAAACGCAAAAAACTCGTAGCACCAACTTTGGCATAAAAATGTAACTTCCTGACTTTTTCCCCCTTTCAAGTTATAGATCAAGGGAGAATCGGGGAAAGGGGACTGATTCCTTAACACAACAATTTTTCCTTAGGCAATCCGTCTTAAGTTATTTGTAGATCACTCCTTCTCTCGATCTCCATCAAGACATTCAAGCGACACACGCGGCACGAGTAGCATTTCCCGTGCTGAGAGATAAAATATCTTGAGTTTAAAAGGAGCTGGTAGTAAATTTTCTTTTCACATTTGACTTTTAAGGGGAATTCATGGTCTTAGTCTTACATCCACTTGCTTCCTCTTATCAATATTTTAGAGAAACAAACGATTAAGTTGTTTAAAAAAATCACATACCTTCGAGCAGTCCATATTTGATTGAAGAGTACTCCTTCTGTAAACTCTCCCCTGCCTCTCCTCCCATGTTCGAGATCGGCTTAAAGAGTCCGACTTGCTCCACCAAGGCCGAGCAACGCCATAGGCCTGCGCACGTGTTTGACAGCGGATTATACGTAAATATTCTGCGCGTACCTAAATACAAAAGTAAGCACATGGAGATCAGACTTGGAGAATGTAAAGAAAACTCTGATACTTTTACACGTGTCAGCTCTGATGAAGGGCTGTTTCTCGAAACGTCAACTTAAAATCTCTTCACTATGGCCAATTTACAGTTGATTAAAACATGTTTTTTTTTAGAAAACTGAAGGAAGCTTGCCTCACCTTTTCATCCCCGATGCAGTGAAAGACAAATATAAATAGGCCCTGTGAGATAACAGATAAATATCAAGGAATCAGTTTAAAAAAATTGATTATCAGTTCAGGAGGCTAAATTATTACCGATAAGTTCTTGAATGTAAAAGAATATCGTTTAAAAATCTCCTGAACATACCTGTAAGGTGTTGAAAATATTAAAAAGATATGCCATAAATATGGTGTCTTGATTGACTACAAAAACTCCAAGTATCCACGTCAGGCCGAGAAGACACGAAAGTAAAGCACATCCTTTGGACCAGTATCTGTTACGCAAAACGATTGTTAATGCTATTTTAGTTTTTGGGCTGAAAACACGCCCAACGTCACGATCAGGTAATAATCTGAGTCATATTTATTGTGTGATGTTTTCGGGAAAGACACTAATTGAACTCTTACGGTGAACTTCTCCATCCAGGAGAATTGATCATGTGAACCTAACAAAAATACTGAGGGAGAGGGGGAAGGGTTACCCTGATCGATTAGGGACTCCTCAAAGATAACAGTGATGAGCGCCGAATATACCCTTGGATTCAAATAATCGTTTTCCCCCAAATGTTTTCCAATAACTCAAGAAAAGGAATTATCACGATAGCGAACCAAAGCAAAACAAACAAAGAGGCTGTAAAGAGAGCTCAAAGTTTAAACAAGTTAAAGCGTTGGAAAACGCGTATTAAAAAAAAATCACAGTTTATTTTATAAAGAGAAATTAGGGTTTTGTTTTCAAGGCATCAAAACGGCCTCAAAGGTGACGCGAAGTTTCTGGTCCAGACACAGCGTATTATTATGAAATAACAATCAGATTTGTCACTCAATCGGAAAGTTACTTCTGTGCTCTTACCTTATTTTTTCAATGCTTGTGTCTTCCTTCTTCGTTCGTCCTCGAGCTGCCATGATCATAAACGTCTTCCCCAAACAAACGAAATTAAACTGTGGAAGAAAATTTTGACCAAACATTGGTCAACCTTCTCTAAAACTCCAAGATTTGGCTTTTTCGTGGAAATAATCGATTAAATGATTGCATAGTTGGCTGGGCACAACATACAAATCTTACTCTTCATTTCGCTCAGTAGAATATTAAATAAGAAAATAGATGCATGTTTATCATTTGTCTTCAGAGTAAAAGACAGAGAAATTGGGAGTCGCCCATGAGTATTAGAACGCAGGTTACTTCCTATTTCTAACCACTGACCCGAATTAAACCACTGAACTACCAAATTTGTGCACTAGTTACCAAGCCATATGCAACACTGCTGCATATGGAATATGAACTCAGTGACTGGGTTCATATTCTTTCCGTGGATGAAATTGAATGTTATAAAAGCAAAAAGAAAGTGGAACTTACCAAGCAGATTAAAAGAACTGGTCCTACAAACGCCCAGGTAGAGTGCCTTTCAATTGACAGCCAACAGCTGACAAACAGAAACATATGGAATTATTAATCATAACTTATTCTACCTAACAGAAACACGGAAACGCCATGTATCAGAAGTTTGTGCACAGAAAGTTCGCTATGTACATGTCTTGGAAACGCAGTACGACTCCTAAGTTAAAATGAAATGAGAGCATTTTCATGGGTCATTTGAATTTCATGATTATCGCTATCGAAGCAGCTTTTTTGTTTTTAGACGTATGTATGTTTAAATTGCAAATTTGTGAAAACTAGGGAAAAGATGTTGATAAATCAATAAAATTATAAGGCTTTTTCCACTCATCTGGTCCGTCCGTTCTACGAAATTTACCGCTCTAATTACGGAAAGGTAGGCTTTAACAAACGAATAACGGTCCTTTTACTTCATTTAAGTTCTTTACCAGAAACAAAGATATCTTTGCATTAAAAAGGTTACTCACAATTCCTCCGTGCCATAGCCTTCGTAAAAAGGCACAGCCGACACAGCCACGACGATTACTGGGATGCCTGAGTAAACACAAAAGAAAGATTGTACTTTTTAGACAAAGTCATGCTCTGGGTGTTTACAACAGACTTAAGCCTCGTAACCAGACCTTTCATGGTTAGGCGGTTGTACATGTCAGTTACAGTTACATGGTAGGATCTAGGCACGAAATTAAACGGACATATAGCTGGATTGAGTGAAATTTACGTTGAAGTAATCAAATTGTGTTTCCGTGACTGCCCAACTCAGATCGTGACTGGCAAATTAACCGAGCGGTACACATGCAATACTGAAGGAGAGAGAGAGAAAAGACCCTAAGGGCCTGTTTATAGGCCCTAAAAATCATATTTTTCCAATAAGGATAGATAAGAAATGACCCTACTCGCTTATCGCAGAGGGAAATTTGTATGAGCCGTAAGGGCAACTCAGCTCGAGAGCAGACTTTACCTCAAGGAATTAGATGCGAGCAGTCAGCAATTAAAAAGACACTAACCCCAACTAAACGTAAAGAAAACAGTTCTATCTCTCGCTGGCCGAGTTTTGGTTCGGAAAATCTTCACAAGCAGAAGATAGAGGACGACTCCCTCCACAGCCATCCAACAAAATGAAACCAAAAATAAGTAGTGTAGGGTGATGGCGATGATCTTGCAAATTAGCTGAAAAAAAAAGTATTCAGTTGGAATCTAAACCTTCTCTTCAACTTGATTATGGAGTCTAAGTCAGTTACTTTGAAAATTAAATTAATCATAGTTCGTTCGAGTCGACTCGACGTAGTCATCAATGGGAAAACAAAAAAAATTTAAAACGTCATGATCATATACTAGTCGTTATTTGTCGCCTGAAGGAAGAGGGGGAGTCGCGTCTCCTCTCATCTCCGTTCCCCCCCTGAGAACCATGTAAACCCCAAAAATCCCCCGACTCCCCCCCCTCCTCCCACTCCTCCTGCTTCTCTCTTAGGCGATTAATTGTGACTGCTGCCTTTGTTTTGTTTCTCATACAACACATTATTACTGTATCTTCACCTTATTCGCCGTCTTAGTTATGCCGAACAGGAACAAAGTCTCTGCCATACCCAAAGAAAGTGCTAGGTTGGCGTGAACGAAATAACGATGACGCGTGTTTTTAAACCTGAAATAATAGTTAAAAAATACACTTGTTATTTTATGGATAAATAATCACTTGATTAGTGTAGCAGATATTTTAAACGTGGGAAAGTTTGATATTGACAGTATCCGATAATAAGACTACGCTTTAGTTTAAGAGGCTAGAGTGCTTTTCGATTAAATTTCGTGAAACCAAAACCAAAGTGAAAACGGCGGCCAATCGGAAGAAAGGAAAATACCCTAAGTAACCAATGACGATTCAAAGTAAAAACAGGGAAACTGCTGAAAGCGCGGGAAAACGCGGGCGACCCATTCGTGATTTATGTAAGTTTTGAATCTGATTGGTCGACAGGGTGATGCGAGTTTTCTGGACCAATCAAAGAGCATGGTAAAGAAAATAAAAACAATCTCGGATTACTTCCGGTGTTCAATTAAAAATTGCTTTATACCGAGAGAGCACAGCGTTAAGTTTACTTTACTCACCTTAAGAAAGCAAAGGTGAGAAAAGCGAGGGCCAAAGCTGCGACGGAAATGCTAATACCAACCAATGAAATAAGACTCAAGGCAAATTTATGTTTCTCCTGTTGATGAGAGAGAGATGATAACATTTACCACAAGGATAAGAGATGATTAAAAATATAATTAGGTAAATATTAATTAAATGTATAGCAAATTGTAAGGAAATTTGCGCATCTTATCTAGGTTGTCGTGGACTTAAGACTATCTGTACTAACCATTGTGTCATTTTCTGGCATGTCTGTTATGCGCATGAGCACGGCAAAGCTTGTTAGATGGTAACACTGACAAGTGGTATGGCTTGAGTTCCTTTCCTTTAAATTACAGCCTGTTTGCGACCAGAAACCTCTGGGACTGAAAAGAAAAAAAAAGGTCACATAAAATTGTCTACAGATCAAAATTATAGCTATTTATAGATAAAGGCTGCAAGGTTCTCTTTCGCTCACTAAGGCGGAAGTTGATGAAGTTTCGGCCGATGGTAAAAGAAACATAGTGTCTATTCTAAGACACTTGCTACCGAAAGCCATTTTTTTTAAAGGTTCATTTTGCTATAAAAATATTTTGGTTCTTGACTCACCCAGACACATTCCAGAAAACACAGTTAGCTTGGAGTTTGTCGTTATTCTGTAGCGGAAGAAAAAACGATATTTCTTGCGTCAGCAGTGATACACAGCAGGTGTGAAATGAACGTGAAATGAACGTGAAATGAACGTGAAATGAATGTTGTGTGAAATGAATGTTGTGTGAAATTAATGTCTTGTTGAGTGTTACATTTCCATGGAATTGTACTACAAGGAAAGTGAGTATGCTCTCAAGGGAATAATAGCAAACACACCTTGCCACAATTAAATTGAGTCGCTAGTCGATACAAACCTGTTTGCTTTTCATGGTTATGATGACTGGGTCTTCAAAGCTGTTTATTTTCATCGGGTGCAGTGAAACTGACGTAATTTCAGATTCGATTTTACCCAAGCCACTCTCATCTTCCGTGGAGTTAGAGGATCTGTAATAAACAGATAATGTTAACCACGGTGATGCTACTTTATGAGTTCTTTACAAGTTTGGGTAGATTCTAGTTTTGGCTAACGGTACAGAAAGGTAACACAGGATTACTTACTTCTCATCTGCGCTTGGCTGCATCAAAGCTTCAAGGTTGCGGTATGATACGAATGTAATATACTGGGTCATGCCTGGTTTAGAAAGAAAAAAGAGCAAAGAATTGAAACAATTGGTGTAGGAAAATACATTTGGCTGTCAAATGGACGGATAAATCTTCTGCCGAGCAAGCAGATAAACATAAACGACCTCGTGGACGTCTATGTAACTTTCAAGGCACTTTAAGGAAATACCTCACCATGGATATGTCAGAGGAAACTTGCTGACTTTCTGAAATGAAACAATTCCACGCCCTTTGTCATGAATTTTGATAAGTTCCAATGTCACTTACCCTGGTCTCCTTCATTCTGTTGTTGCATTAACACGGAGCCTGGTAACAAGACAGTGCTAGAAGTAAGATTGCGCATGATCTTGTTTGTCGGCGGCATCCGCTGGGCAGTCGGTTTGACGTCCTTGATGGATTTAGCACTCAACACTAGAAGAGAATTGGTTAGAAAAGAATTAAGGACTTTTGAGACGGGTTCAAATTTTTCATGATGTACTCTGGAAGAAAGTCGATCGGTAAGTAAGCTCCCCCCTCCCGTCCCTCCCCGTCCTTCTATTGACAAAAATTATTTGCTAACCGATAAGAGCATTTTTTTAAATTACAAACTGAGCACTGCAAGGACCACCCAGAGAGATTTCTATCCTTATCTAATTCTGTCGTGATAATCTTGTAGGCGTATCGCGTGACATTTTATTTTCTAATTTAGTAATTAAGCTAGGGGTTTGGTTTGATGACAGATGGGTTACTTAAGATTTAGGTGTATAATTGAACATAGCACGGTAATGGAAGACTTGAGAATGTTCGTGATATGGAAAATCAATAATGGTCTGAAATAATTAGATAAAGAATTGCCTAAGGAAGTTGTGCGTGCAGGTTTGGGTTGGAAGATCCTGTGACGTTGCGTGATGTGTCATTCGTGTAGCAAATAGTGCGTGCGTGTGGGTGTAAATTATAGAGGTATTGATCGGCGTAGAATGAGAAACAGTTGTTAAAATCAAGTTGACAGGAAATAGCTTGGGATTTTAGTAAATCACGAATAAGTAATGTCAATCCCGGTTTTACGTAGTTTAGGCGTGTATTTCCGTTGTAATAGCAGATAAATAGAATTGCTATCTTGTAGCAGAAGATTAAGATCGTTTGAATATAAAAAATTCGGATATTGTATGGATTATAAATAAACGCAAGAAATCGGAAAGATGCAATCCTATTGATTGTCGAACCAGCGCTCCTCAGAGATTTTCCTTAACGCAGTGGAGAATTTTGCAACAAATTCGGCCCCGCGAAGTTCCAAGTAATAACGGGCGCAATGCGAAGAGTTTCTGCTTCAAATCACGCACGAACTAAAGGTTTATCTTCCATTTGTTACGGAAAGTCCGAAGAATTTCCAATTAACCATGCTGTTGAAAACTGCGAGAGCTCTAAAGCTAATGTTCACATGGGAACACACCAAGAAAAACTGTTTGTTTTCCAAGGGTTTTTCCTAAAGTGTGAAGTACTGTGAGTCACATGGGCGGGTTATCAGGATTAGAAAGAGTTTCTCGTTTCTTTTACCTCCAAATATAGCGCCCAATACGGAGTTTGTGTGAAGGTAACTAGAGTGATACTCACCGACGTTTGAGGCCTCAGATACGATTGCATTACTCGCAACAGCTGTTTTGGCCAAATGGAGAGCAATGCCATCAACTCCTTTTAAAAGCTTACTTGCTTTAGCAGCCCTCGAGTCCTGAGAAAAAGAACATGCCAATTCATGCAAAGAGAACCAATTAGTCACCCGATGAATTTAAACCAACGCCTTTCAAATGACCTTCATTTTCTCTCTGTATGTTTCTTACCTCTGGCATAAATTTCCAGGATTCAAGAGCTTTGTCGTCTAGTATATTACTGGAAGACTTCACTATGGCCTAAATAAAAATAAAGCGGCAAATTTGACACATTCTGATATGAATTTAGAAACAATTGTAGTCACACGAAGGATTTAACTTAAGTTGACAAACCTTTGTAATCTTTTTTATTGTTTCGTCTCTTATGGCAGGTGGTAAGTACTGCACTGTTCCCAGGCTCTTTTGAGAAATCTTCTCTATGAGGTCAACGACCAGTTTAAGGTCACCAGCTTGAAGTGGAGCTT